TCAATAAGCTGGTTAGATCTGTAGCATTAGGCGGTGGAGGAACATATTGGATTTGATGTTGGTGAGGTTGTTGTTGATTAGGTACATTAGGTGGGATAGGATATTGAGATTGGGGTTGAGTTTGTTCTTGCGGCAGGGCCTCACATTCATTAGTCGGGTCTCTACCCCCAAGTAGCTTGGCAAAAGAAACCTTAGAGTTCACAATTTTAGCGGGTCCTCTTCTTGGTTTAGGTGTATCATCAGGGTCCCTGGGTTTCATATATCTCGCTTTAAGATTTTTATAAATTTGGCAGCCTTTGTAGTTGGCTGGATGGCCTTCCAGGCATAGGGCACAGACTGCTGGTTCTGTAATTGGTTTATTACACTCGCCAGACTTGTGTGTTTTACCACATTTCACGCAGCGTGGTAAGTGGTGGCAATAAGACTTGGTGTGGCCATATGCTTGGCAATTATGGCACTGGATGAACTCTCTTTTTGGGTACGGTTTTTCGACCTTTACGCTGGTGTAGAAAATTCTATTCACATCGTATATTTTTTCGATCCCAGGCGATGGCTCTAGATCGACGAAAAATAAGGGCAATGGGATTTTATTCTTTACACCTGGTTGTTCTTTATTTTCTTTTAATACATTGGTTATCTGACGTATTTTGAACCCTAACGCCGTTAACTCTTCTTTAATCACTTCTATTGGGGTTGAGGAGTGTAAATTTCTTATTACAACTCGTAGTGCTCTTTCCTGTTTCAACTGGTATGTGTGAAAGTCCGCATTTGTGTCTGTTAAATATTTTACGATTTTTCGGTACGCTTCAGGTGTGGCCGGTATTATTTTTGTATCATTTATTCTGTTTAGGCATGTATAGCTACCTGGGCAGATTTTATTAAGTTGAGTACACAACAACTGGAAATTTCTCAAATTTTTGACAAAGATAGGAGGTGGGCGTGGTTCTCGAGGTATAGGTGCATCTTCCATTTCTTCCCTGTCATTTTCAAGCACCTGGTATGGATTAGGTGTAAAAAATGGAGATTCCATTTCTTGTGAAGACGTACTTGGCAGTGGTTGAGACACAGATACTTGAGTGTTCGCTGGAGGAGTTCCGGGGGGTGTTAATCGCTTACTACGACGTGTTTTCTGTTTAGGCGGTGAATTACGTGGGGTAGAGCCAACTGAATGGGACCTCTTAGTTGACATTACTTGGTGGTAATATCGCATATAAAAAAAAAGAAAGGGAAAAAAAATAAATAAATAAAACTACGTCTGCGTGTTATTGCAATGGATGAACCGCCGACTGAGAACCATCCAGTTACGTTGCGAGGCCACAACTGGAGTGGGGAGCCGTCAGCTGTTATGGCTATAGAGATTAAGCCTATAGACGCTAAACCACTAAATTCACTGTCTGTAATAGTACACAGTGAATAACAACACTACTCACTGTGGTGTTAGTCCATTGTTTTTGTTTTGATGTCTGCTTAACTAGTTTTTTTTAAAAAAAGTAAAACTGAGCACTTATTCTACTAAAAAATAGTAAAACTGTGGGACACGACGTGAAATGTGGGTATTCAAATCAAGCGCATGCGCAGAACTAATCCATACAATTAAATATTAAATAATATCAACAATAGCATTTTTGAAAATCGCATATTTATATTTATATAATATTGTCGAATTCCATATTATATTAAGCTCATGTTACGTATGGAAGCCTGTTATAATAATCTTTCGGGCGAGCTCGGGAGCGATCAATTACAACTATTCTTCGTTACGACTTTTATTTTTCCTTTACTTAATTATCAGGACGTGAACTTTGGGGAAAACAGCAAAATTCTCTAACATTATACGCATCCAATCCTTTCAATCCAAAGTCCTCCGAACAATAGTCGATGCTCCGTTCTATGTAACCAACAAAACCCTACATCATGACCTTAATATCCCATTTGTCCTTGACCTTATCCCTGAAAAATTTTCAAAATTCCATCAGAACCTTATCAATCATCCAAATCACCTAGCCCAATCCCTATCTAGTTCCACTCATCCATACAACCCTCCTCGAAGGTTGAAGGGGCAGTGGCCCAAAGATCTTTTATAGTATTTATTTTGGAGTTCTGGCAATGGCCAGATTCTCCACTCAAGACATGAGTGTATGTGGCGAAAACGCTCTCGCTCAAACTACACCGGCTTTAGCACCGATGAGGCGGTTGAGAGAGTAGCGCAGGGATTTGGATTCCCCGCCTGATTGTAATATTGTATATAGGTATGTCTGTATTTTTATGTTTTTAATTTACTTATATTTAGGTTATTGTATTTTTTTATTGTATATAGTTTTTATTTATTATTATTTATTTATTATTTTACATTTGTTAATTTTTGTTTGTATATACGGTGTGAATGTGTTCATTTATCAATATAATTATTGTCCCCGTGACAGAATATTATATGTCTAAATAAATAAATAAATTTAAAAAAATAGTTAATTATCAAATGCTTTCATATTTTATATTTAACTATCTTTTGTATTAGAGGTGAATGTGAAATAGCCAATTGTTTCAAATAAAAAAAATAAGGTACTTTAGAGAAAGCTCATATTGAAAAAAGCCATTTGAACCTAGTTAGAGAACATCAATCAGAATAAAAACTACATTTTATTTAAAATTGCTCAATTTTACACTTATATAATGAATTTAATCAAAATGAGAAAATTCTAAAAATGTGTTTAGTCCATGATATAAAGTGCGACTTATATCATGGGCCAAAGAATACGAAAATGAATATTAAACTTAAATAATGTGCTTCTCTGTTTATCCTATAGAAGCAGCAATAAACAGTCGAACCTCACAGCATGGCTGTTGACGCAAAACTGATACTATAGTTAAATATTTTGTTTTATTAGGTTTACAATATAAAAAAATAAATAAATCAACGAATGTATGTAGTAATTTAGACAGTAGTTATAAATTAATATCTAAAAATTTTTTTTTTATTGAAAATATTACGATCTGTCTCAAATGACAAGTATCTAAAATTATGTGTTTCAAGAAGTCTTTACCATTTTGCAAGTTAATTCATTGTCAAATTAAAAAATACCTAGGTTAAAACAAAGACCTTAATTTTCTAGGTTTTTCGTGGACATTTTCTAATTTTAACGTCATATTCATGTTTCTTGACTTTAAAAACACAAGGATTCTAAATATCAAGTTAATTGGACTTAATTTACAAGTTGTAGATCCATGTCCGCAGAATCCTTTGAATAGACTGCTTTGAAATCGACAAGTAGGGCGTTGACGTCCTGCTCTACTTTCCATCGTTTTCCTCGTACTTATTTTAGGATGAAAGTCGCTTAATATATTTTCGTAATGCGGATATATCCGGTTGAGTTGGATATTAGTCATTATCTTTTAGGCAACCGGAAGGAGTGATATGCTTCTGTAATTACTATACTCATACATGGAGCCTTTGTTTAGGATAGGACAGATTAGGCTCGTATTCCAAGCCTCAGGTATCCTGTCCTCTTCCCATAATTTCTGGATTAGTTGTCGTAGTTTGGCTCTTAAGTCGTCTCCTCCATCTTTAAACAGTTCTGATGGTAGGTTGTCCATCCCTGGGGCATTTTTTGTTTTTAAGCCTTTCGAAAGCTATTTTTACATGCAGAATATCTGGTTTTTCAAACTCTTCTGGTTCGAGGCCTTCAGTGGGATCCTAGTCTTCTTCGTTCGTGGGGTCCCCTTGATTGAGAAGTCCATGGAAATGTTCTTTCCAGATGCTCAATATCTTTTCTTTAGATGCCGTTAGAATGCCATATTTTCCTCGCATTTGCGTATTTCGTGAATGTTCTGGCCTCCGATAATGTTTTCGTCCTATTTTGCATTGAAGTCACCTATGACTAATTTGATGTCATGTATATGAGCTTGGTCCACAATATTTTCCAACTGATCCTAGAAATCATCCTTCACCTCTTCATCTTTATCTCCGGTTGATACATAAACGTTAATTATCGTGAAGTTACGGAATGGACTTAATCCGTAACAAATAATAATAATAATGATATTAATTTAACTTTTATTTTGTTAAATATCCCAATTGGTGAATCATGTATTATCTTTTAGTTTCTCATGACTCAAAGGATAAAAAAACAAAGCATCCCTAGTTAGCCAGATCGAGCTATATCTGATAGCTTAGAAATAGTTATCTAGAATGTACCGACTGGACACAAGACCCATTATCAAGACATAGGGGACAATAACCGATTTCAGCAAAAGTGTACTTTCTCACAGACCTCTTCTTAAGAATATTAACTATCGATAACTTCCTTCGCCGTCCTCTTCCGACTTCCCTTCACCCTTGCTACGCTTGGCATCATTAAATGCTCCTCAGAACAAATTACTCATGCAGTTAGATTCTTGAAGTCACACTCTTCACTGTAGGAAACCTGGAGTGAACTCGTGTAGTCAAACCGTATATCCATAGTGTATTACTCTGTATGTTAGATACCATTTGTAACAGACATTATGAATAAAACCATTACTTATAAAGTCTTCACTGATTCTTTAACTGTGATATCAAACCAACGACCTTTAACTCATACTACACTACTCCTTTCGTTTTAGGGGATTAGGTTTATAATTGATTTTCCTGCCGCTTGACTAACTATAAATCATGTGCAAGCTGTCGCATGTTTATCGTTTCTTCCGGAATAGTGTATGGCCGTCAGCAATGGTTTTGCCACCTTTTGGCTATCTTACCTCTTCGATAGTTGTTAAAGGATATACTTATTTAGTGCTTTTACTATCGTTTTTGCGGCTCCTGGTCGGTATAAACTACTTTCGTTCCAAGATCCAATGTATAGTCCGTGATCCAAAGCCAAAAAAAAAATCGTCCCGTATGAAAAAAAAATGTAAATATATATGAAAATAGCATAAATACTATTATTTCCTATAATTTTTGTTATTATATTAATTAAAAGCAGTATGTTTGCAACTTGTATTTACCTTTGAAAAAAATATTTTAGAATGGTGCTCTTGATGAAAAAGAAATTATAGCCCTGAGACAAGAAATTGAAATGCACAAGGAAAGTGCAAAACATTCCCAGGAAGAAGCTGAAAGATTGCTACAACTAATGCAAATGACACAAGAAGAACATAATTCTAAAGATAAAAAAATCAGAGAATTACAGGAGTAAGTTAAACCCATTTTTTATACTTATGATAATGTTAATCCACCAATTAACTTTCACAAATTTGACATGATATATTAGGATTCCATTTACCTTGATACTTTTTCCATACCTGAAATTTCTGGATGGAAGAGTTTTCCTTGGTAATAAGCGAGAATAATAAATGCTGAAAGTAATATTTCTGAAAGTGATGTTTCATGCTAAATACTAAAATATTTTAGCTTTATTCAACTAAATAAAAATTGTCTTTTTTAGGGCATTAAAAAATGCACAAGTTAAACTTAAAAGTTTACAAACTGCCAATGCACAAAGGGAACAAGCACGAAAAGCGGAAGAGGTATGAATAACAATAAATACTAATAATATATTTATAGTTACCAACAATTATATTACCTTAATGATAATTCTATCACTTTTTTCCAATGTTTTAAGACAATTTAAATTTGAATACCATTTCTGGTGTTTCTTCTATTATTGTTAAAAATTAAAATTAAAAAAAAAGGCCTGATATTAATTGTGAAATTGATATTACATACAACAACAATAAATCTGTAAATAAATAATTCATCTGCAATTTTCAACTTTCAATCTCTGTAATCAATTAAAAATAAATATAATAATTATTTTTATTATTAAATAAAGAGCAGTATAAAGTTAATATAAATTATAACTTAAAAAATAAGTTAAAAGGAAGAGTAGATGTTATATCGTTTGCTGTTGTTATACAATGACAGGCAAAAAATTCCACCCACTTGATTTGTTCATGTTTTCATCTAAAAATATTTCTGCTTTGGATTGGTCTATTGTTTTTAATGAATAAATAGGTAATCTTTTTGTTTGTTTTCAATTAGGAATGTTAATATAGAGGACAATAACCCTTAATCCTTAATTTAATGAAATGATTCCAATGTTTACTTTCTATGGAATCAAAATGTTTATTCAGTATCATTAGTTCAGTGCCGTTTCTTGCAGCACATTTCTTAGTCTCCGGCTTTTAATTTTTTCAATATTAAGTTTAAAAATGCCTCTTAGTATATCTTTGCTGGAGGATAGCCCATTCCTCCCGAAGAGCCCTTTCAAGGTCCTGCAGTGTATCAGGAAGTGTTGCACGCGCTCTTATTCTTCTTCCGAGGTTATCCCATAAATGCTCAATGTGGTTCAAATCTAGAGAACGTGCTGGCCAGGCTAAAACCTCAATATTGTTCTGTTGAAGGAACGTCTGCACTACGCGGGCGACCTGTGGGCGTGCATTAGAATAGAACGATCGCCGATTTCCGCCGGATTGGCAACACATGAGGTTGGAGGGCGGGGTGGCCGAATGGGCTAACGCGTGTGCACTGCACCGCCGTTGCCCGGCAACCGGATTTATGATTCTATGATATGAAAATAATCACGAGTTCGCGTCCCGGTGCCAGAGGGGATTTTAAATTCCCCGCCCTCACCCTCTGAACTTCCCCAAAAGCCAGCCGTGTTACTCTGTGAGTTTTGGTCAACTCTGGTCTTCTTTCTGGACGAAAAGCCATTAATCCATACTCATTTAATCTTCTCCGAGCGGTACGTTCAGAAATTTGCACACCTTGAACTTCTTCGAGCTGATGAATCGCTTGAACAACGGTAAGGTGTCGGTTTCGTAAAATTCTCAAAGTCAAAAACCGGTCATCCCGTGGTTCTGTTACCCTAGGCCGTCCAGAATCGAGCCTTCTATTGTAAGAACCAGTTTCCCGAAAACGCCTGACGGCGTCTCATAAAGTTTCATATGGAACGTCGATGGCATTAGCTGCATATCTAACGGAACGTCCATCATCAATAAGTGCCACACCACGCGCAACATCCTCAGCACTAAGAGGCATTTTTAAACTTAATATTGAAAAAATTAAAAGCCGGAGACTAAGAAATGTGCTGCAAGAAACGGCACTGAACTAATGATAGTGAATAAACATTTTGATTCCATAGAAAGTAAACATTGGAATCATTTCATTAAATTAAGGATTAAGGGTTATTGTCCTCTATATTAACATTCCTAATTGAAAACAAACAAAAAGATTACCTATTTATTCATTAAAAACAATAGACCAATCCAAAGCAGAAATATTATTAGATGAAAACATGAAAAAATCAAGTGAGTGGAACTTTTTGCCTGTCAGTGTAGATCTCTACCTTAAAAGACTAATAGATTAAAACTGTTGTAACAGTTTCATAACAATCCAATGAGAGTTAAATGTGACTTTTTTTTTATAAGTGTTTTATGTCGTTAAAAACTATACCCGATCACGGGCACTGTCTTTAATCATCGACCGAAGAAACTTAGCTCCATCATTTGTAGTTCGCGATCCTAAACTAATTCTTCTTCGTTTCTCGAATGTTTCGCACTTGGAGGCAAAGATTCTTGGATCCTCCAGGCATTGGCATGATGGACAGTAACCACTCTTAGCTCGACCCAGTAGATTTAGAAATTTCTTTGTTCTTTCTGGTCAGCTTTACTAAGCTGGATGAAAGAACAAACAATGAGTAGCAAACCATGGAACCACTGCTATCTTCTGTTGAACTGCATGATGGTCCTCATCCTTTGAGGTTTATTCCTCGTCGTAAAAATGCTGGCAGTCTTTCATTATTTTTCCTCTCACTACACCTATCAAATCCAGTAAAGGAACCTTAGCATTTATCCGATGTAGTTGGTTTTGATTCGCCATTTTGTCTGCCATTACATTTCCTGATATTCCTACGTGTCCCGACACCCAACGGAAAAAGTAATTGTTGTGGGGTTGTGTATCACAGATATGATTTTAAAAGAAATGTGTATCAGTACTTTATTTTGATAAATTAATTTTAGGTGTTTACATGCAGTTGCCCAGTCTGTCATAATAACTATCTTTGATTGCTGTATAATATGGTGTTGAGAATGGCATATATTTCGGCACTGAAAATTCTGAATTCAACTGGTATTGGTTACGAAATTTTTTAGCTCTTTTGGGGATCATCTACAGCTACATATGTTCGGTTACTTGTTTTTGATGCGTCCATATATACTTCTAGATAATTAGTGTAACGTTCCGTGATTGTGTCAAGTGCTAGTTGTTTTAAGTAAATTGTGGGTAGGAACTTTTCTTCTCTACTTTAACAGCTAAATTAGATGAGCTATGAATATTAATTAAACATTTCGGAATGGGAGTTGTGTATTCCAGAGAAGCTTCAGAAATGTGCAGTGATTTGAGAAGGAACAGTAATTCCTTAATAATGACGCATAGTTGGAGACAGAACACGTTTCCAATTCTAATGTATTTACTTACAGGATGTTTATTGTCGGAATAGACTTTGTGAATGTACTTTTTAGTTATCCATGACCTTATAATGTGTAATGGCATCTCCCCTGCTGAGGCCTAAAGTGCGTTTATGAAAGAAGTGTTAAGCACCTATACATACCCTAATGGCACAGTTTTGTGTTAGATTCAACTTATTAATGAGGGTGGATTTCGTTTGATTTTATGAGACACCAGGGGTGTTCAGATGGCGAATGTTGAGCGGAGTGGAATTCCAAAATGCAGTGGAACAGACAATGAAGGAGTGTTTAAATGAGGCGGTGTAAAGGTTAGAAGGACGAGATCTTGTGGAGAGGGAGTGAATGGAAGACTTGCATTGGAGGAAATTGTATGCACAGGATGGGCGAAGGTAAAGGAATATGTAAAGGAATAATAAATATTGTTTTCGGAAGAAGGGGAAAAGCCACCTTAACTCATAATAGCAGTGAGAAATACGAGAACGTCTCTAAGTACCTTTGACAAATGTTACGAAGCTATTCATAATTATTTTCAGTCTATCTCTGAGTTCCGCCGAGAGGCCACCATACAACACGCTGCCGTAATCAAGGTGAGGGAAGATACTAGGAGTCTACGTATGGGCATGGGTAGGAGATGACGGAAGCGATGGAATAGTTTCAAGCCACCAATTGATCGTCAGCAGATATGGGTAGTATGGTGATTTCAGGAAAGGGTTTGGTCAGTAGTTAAATGAAGGGTGCTCGGATAAGACTTTTTAAAAAGAATTTTTATTGAAGCAAAACTACAATCAAAAGAACATCTAGCATAGGGTCAAGCTACATACAGAAAATGTATCATACGTCTATTGTTCAAAGGGTTTATATATTGTATATCTGCTGATGTCTGCCGTTTGTCTGTTGCGTCATATATGCGTTGCCATTACTTCTCCCTCCGCAAGATTGTCGCTGTCCTCAGCGAAGACGAATAGATAGGTCAGGTGCTGATGTAAGTGGATCGTTGTTGCCAGCTGTTGATGATATGTGATTGTTTTGATGCTGACATCTGAGAAGTCTAAGAATAGATTTCCTAGTACGAAATACTGCATATAAAATAAACTGTACAAGTGTTATGAGAATGAAAATATACATGATATCATTATTAGGTCTAGGGGGAAGTTGATTGATTTCATATAATGGTTCAATATTAATATTGGCTTTGTGAATATCTTCAAAAGTATAATTAGTATATTGCTTATTTACTATATTAGTAGGAGAAGGAATTGAAATATAACTTTCCCAATATATAAGGGGTCTAGGGTAATTTAACAATTGTTCAGTATTATTAAGATACAATAATTGTGTTAGTTTGGAATATATAGTAATATTATGAATACCATTCGATACAATAAGGGTATTGGTGTTGTAAATAAGATACATGTTAATAATAGGTATAAATTTAACAAAAGGGTTAGTATTATTTAAAACTAAGGTTTTACAATTATTTAAATCCTTATTTTGAATATACAATCATTCGTTACATTTGTTACATTTTCACAATAATAATTTTCATTTAATAATATACATTTTCCACCTAAAAGTAACTCATTATATCTTACAATTAGGGATGGATGTTCTTTTATTGTTATAATTTCATTTTGTTTAGTAATAACAGGATAGGAAAGAAGGAAGAACGTCTCATAAAGTTGGGATTTTGTAGGAAATTGGATAAAATAGGATAAGGAGGTGTAATTATGTATTGAATTAAGTGTTTTTAAAGATCTTTTAATATTGATTAACTCTGTTTGTAAAATTTGAATATTTATATTATGCATATAAGTATAAGTGCAATTAATAACGTAGGAGTCTTTTACTTTGATTGCTATTATTCCTGTAGATTTACTGAGGTCAGTTATTTTGTATGTTCCGACTGGAAGTACTAGTAGAAGTAGAAGGATCATGTCCTGTAACAGAATTATTCTTTATTTTATGTTATTTTCCTTGGGCGTTTAATTCGGTTAGGGTGAATTTTAAAGGGTTTAGTTTCTTTAGACTTACTTATTCCTAAATTTTTGTTTTTATCATAT